TAATCTCTTAAAATCCATGAAATTTAAAACAAATTATATTTATTTATTTACAGATCAGTTCCTTCGATATAAAGTAATTCGGGAGACTAAAGGTTCGTACTATTATTTTGGTGAGTATTTATAAAAATTGTTAGAATCAGTATGTTGGTTATATTACGTTATGTAGAAAAGAGAAAGCGTATACCAATGTGTACCACATCACATTCAAAGAAATACATATATCTAGACCGTCATCGGTCCTAATGTGCGCTTCTTTTCTTTTGTAACCGTAGTTTCATAGAATTGTAATTAATGTTCCCATGATATTCCGATCTAATTTCGAGTAAAACTTGGCAATGACATGCTCTTCATTCGCCTAAATATGCTCGTGATCTGTTCGTCCAGTCTGAATAAGTTCAATCATAATTTACCTCAAACGTACACATTCTTAGAAGGCTGCTCATTCCTCTCTCATTTGGCTCAATTCTTAGGTTCTTTGTGATACTACCCACTGTTTCTTTATTTCACACCTCTCTCGCACATGATTTTAACTTAGCACTCGTTGTGTTGAGAGATTTCGATTCAAGTTTCCTATTCTATATATCAAGTACCTTCGGTCTTTCTTTGCCACATATGTGCCCATGTAATGCAGAAATCAGCTCACAACGTCTTAATTGCTTTCTTGATATTGGTAAACATCGGTAAATATGTTCAATCTAGTTAACTTAATTCCCATTAAAATTACTTCCCGAAATCAAACATTGTGATATGCCGCTTCGAACCTCTTTCATTGGCGCTGCGAATTATGGCCCCAGGTAAAATGGCCCCAAAATATAAAACGAAAAATTGCCCCAATGTTGGGGTCAAAATTCATTATGAAGTATAACCCTAACATTTTTTAAGAAAAATCACCCCAAAATTAATGAAAAATCTCCCCAAGGTTGAAATGAAAAGTGGCCCCAAATATTGGGTTAATTTTTCGTAATGAACAATTACCCCAAAAACGTAAATGAAATTTCACCCCATTTAATTTTAATTCATATATAGGTGACGTGTCATAAAGTCCAGTGTCATATTTTCCATGGGCGTTATGACTCACTAAATTGAGTCTAGTGTCCATGGACGTTATAACAATTTCAAAAGTGTCACAATGCATAAAGTCTATGGATTTCAAAGAGTCCATTTATCAAAAGAAGGCTTAATTTAGCGAAGCCGGTATTCGAAATACCCCAGAGTTTAAAACCCCTGCGCCCGGCCGAAGGCCGGCTATACAGAAAACTTTTTAAATGGAAACCAAAATGCAACATACACCAAATTTAGGATAAATTCCTTTGGGGGTAAGAATGTCCCTTTCATAAATTCTTTACAAATTTTCAAATACAGTTCTGTTTTAAAAGTGATACAATGTCAATGGACATTATAACACTTTTAAAAATTGTCATAACGTCCATGGACACTATGAAACTTTTTGGTGTGTCATAACGTCAATGGACATTATGACATCCCACCTCAAATATAAGCTAACATATTTATAAAATTTCATATTTAATAATTTTTGTTGTATTTTTATTAAATGTTTGTTAATTTTGAACATTCTTGAAATATTTTTTGTAAAAATATGTTCAAAATTAACAAACATTTTATGAAAATACAACAAATATTATTACATAAAATATTTTTTAATAAAAAATATCGCGCGATAATGTTCTGATTTTTTATAAAATATTAATAAATAGTAATAATGAAAGATCACCCCTAATTATTATATGGTTTTTTAGGTCCCTTTTTAATATTTTAATATTCACGTATTTTACAAAATTTAAGAATGAAAATTAGCCCCAAAGGAAAAAAGTTTTGTTTTGGGGTATTTCTTCATTTCACAACATTGGGGTCATTTTTATTTTTTTTGCAAAATGCAGTATTACCCCAAATATAAAAATGTTGAAATACCCCAAAAAATATATAAAAAAAAACAAAACTTTCGTGTTTTTGTTTCCTGTATCTTTGTTGGGGCCATATTTCGTTTTACGTTTTGGGGCCATTTTACCTGGGGCCATAATTCGCAGCGCCCTTTCATTGGCTTCTGGCACAACTTGCGTGCCTCTTCAGTACTCATGCCATGTTCAATGTATGTATGTTTTAGGCGTCTGTGCGCAGATTCACTGAGTTTAGGCCTTTCTATAGAGATTGGTGCCTTTTTGGCTTTAGCATCTAGGTCAACGTTAATATAGGATTGCGTGTTAGGTGCAGAGTCCAGCAGCGCATCTTCTTTATCCGTTGGGACAAATGCTTCAGTGGAATTGAGACCGGAGTTCCCCACTATTAGAGTATCGTCCATTTCGACTTGAAAATGGGAACTGTTTAGGTTCAGATAGGTTCATGGGGACCTAGTCTGATTTGTTATTATTATTGTTGTTATATTTTTTTCAATTTTCACCTGAAAAGATCAGATAATTAATGGGGAATTAACTAACATATCAAGGACCTGAAGCCCTTGCCGCAGATGTGCTAAAAGTACCACCGGACTGTACCATGGTCATAGTAGTGCCATTCATCCCATGGTCACGGTACGGATAAAGACCGGAATTACAAGTTTTTATTGATCGTCCACTCTAGATCCTCAATGGTTTGCTTTGAATGCGCAGATGGTCTAAAAATACAACCAGACTGTACCATGATCCGGAGGCCACCGTTCAAAGACACACGATGTGCCATTCATCCCAAGGTCACGGTACGGATAACGACCGGTATTACGCATTTTTATCGATCGTCCACTCTAAATCCGCAATGGTTTGCTTTGAATATGCAGAGATACCTCGTGCAGAGTGTAGCTCTTCCCCACGAATGGTCGGTCATTGGGATAAGAAGAGGCTATATTAATTATATATGTTACGCATTCATACCCTTATAGCATCTTGGTTAGGGTATCACAATCTGGACTGGACTATACATTCATTCTCAGTTTTTTCTCTCACCTCACGAATCCCTCGAGTTGTAGTTACGGAATTTATTTATAAAATAATTTCCTATTGGGTTTTAATTTTTTAATGTCTGCGTGTGTCGGTATTTTTAAATGTGTCTTTTATTTTATGATTACTTTTGATTGCATTTCTTTAACGGTATGGAAAAATTTCTTTTTCATATGTTTGTTTCTAACATTATCCTCTTGTGACTATTAAGACATAAAACTTTTTTTCTGGTTTTATTAAAAAAATCTTTATATTCACTTTGTTCTATTGTCCTTGTTTTTTAATAGTTCCGATTAGCATGTAAAATTGTTTGATAATTGTTTTATTGAAATTTAAATGTTGAAAAGCATTTTGTTTTAATGCTTATAGAGTGGAAAGAATAGGGCAATGTCTTTCTAATGACTTAAACATGAATATACTTTTAAATGTGGAAAAATTAAATCCTTTGCCATATAACGGCTCTATGGAAAAAGCCAATAAGAGGAATTTTATGTATGTTAATGGACATTCATAGATCCTTTAGAACCAACTTTGGAGTTTTTTTTTTCGGAACTATTACCAATATTTACTCATTTTTTAGATTTTTCCGGCATGGAGGTGATTTTTAGAATATACTATATAGTCAAGCCTATAAACTAATCTATAGTCAAGACTATAACTGATCAATAGTTAAGGCTACAGACCGATCTATAGTTAAGACTATAGACTCATTTATAGTCAAGACTATAGACTCATCTATAGTCAAGACTATAGACTCATCTATAGTCAAGACTATAGACTCATCTATAGTCAAGACTATAGACTCATCTATAGTCAAGACTATCGACTCATCTATAGTCAAGACTATAGACTCATCTATAGTCAAGACTATAGACTCATCTATAGTCAAGACTATAGACTCAGCTATAGTCAAGACTATAGACTCATCTATAGTCAAGACTATAGACTCATCTATATAGACTCATCTATAGTCAAGACTATAGACTCATCTATAGTCAAGACTATAGACTCATCTATAGTCAAAACTTGATTATAGAAAAGTCTATAGTCTTGACGTAAGTCTATAGTCTTGACTATAGACTCACCTATGGTCAAGACTATAGACGCATCTATAGTCAAGACCATAGACTCATCTATAGTCAAGACTATAGACTCATCTATAGTCAGACTATAGACTCATCTATAGTCAAGACTATAGACTCATCTATAGTCAAGACTATAGACTCATCTATAGTCAAGACTATAGACTCATCTATAGTCAAGACTATAGACTCATCTATAGTCAAGACTATAGACTCATCTATAGTCAAGACTATAGACTCATCTATAGTCAAGACTATAGACTCATATATAGTCAAGACTATAGACTCATCTATAGTCAAGACTATAGACTCATCTATAGTCAAGACTATAGACTCATCTATAAGTCTATAGTCTTGACTGTAGTCAAAACTCTAGACTGATCTGTACTATAAACTATAGACTATAAACTGATCTGTAGTCAACACTATAAAATGATCTATAGTCAAGACTATAAATTGATCTATAGTCTAGACTATAAACTGAACAATAGTCTAGACTATAAACTGATCTATAGACTAGGCTATAAACTGATCTATAGTCTAGACTATAAACTGATCTATAGTCTAGACTATAAACTGATCTATAGTCTAGATTATAAACTGATCTATAGTCTAGACTATAAACTGATCTATAGTCTAGACTATAAACTGATCTTTAGTCTAGACTATAAACTGATCTTTATTCAAGACTATATACTGATCTACATCCAATACTACAGACTGATTTACAGTGAATATTATAAACTAATATATAGTCAAGAGTATAGACTGATCTTTAGTCAAAACTATAGAACTGATCTATAATCTATAAAACTGATCTGTATTGGGGATAAAAGATCAAATGAGGTCCGAATTTAACAAGTTAGTGTAAAATTTTAAATTTCGGCAACATAATCAATATATTCATAAGTGAGTAGACTATATTACTTAGAGACTGTATAATGGAGGCTAAGTGAAGTAGTGGAACGAGTATTATTAAAAAATATATTATTTATTCATTTAAAAATCATTACAACAAAGCCAGTTCAATAAATCTTCCTTCAACTAAATTACTTTTTCAATAAAGTAGAGTAAGTGGCAACTGGAGCTGTATAAGCTAAAGGAGCAGCACTATAAACAGAAGAGGTATAGGTAGGAACAGCAGCCGAATAGGTGGTATAAGCTGAAGTCTTATAAGCAGGAGCAGCAGCATAGGCAGTGTAGGCGGGAGCAGCAGCAGCATAAGTTGTATAGGCAGGAGCGGCAGCAGCATAAGTGGTGTAAGCAGGAGCTACAGCACTATAAGTAGTGACAGGAGCCAACACACCAGCTTGAGCAGCTGCGATGAAAAGAGCTAAACAGATAAGGAACTGAAATAAAAGGATTATAATTCAATTAATTAAATTAAACATATTTTGGAATATTCTCATTTTGTCCATTTTTTTTTTTTTTTTTTTTGTATTCCAACTCACTTTCATTTTGTAGATGGGTTTTTTGTGTAAGTCTTCTTTGATTTGTTGTACAAACAATTTAGAACTGATACTATTTCTCATACTTAACAGGCATTTATATACAAAAATTAATATTCTAGACAGGATTTCATATATATTTTTTTTGTTTTCTTGTCACTTTATAAATATTTGGTGGTAAATACAGATAATGCCACAAGCTATATTCTTAAGATGTATATCGCTGTTTGCTAAACAAAAATAAATCATTCAATTATGATTTGTCATTTTGTGTTGAATAAATTTTCAACAGCAGAATATGAAAACTATAGCAAAACAAACATGTTTTCACTCATTCTTAAAGATTAATAACCCGAATACGAATATTGTTGACACTAATACTTTGGGCATAAAAAATTAATTATTTATTTTGTTAAATTTTGTCAATGAATGCGGATGTTTAGTTGAATTTTGTGGAGATTATACTACTTACTGTTTACGTGCTTGTACACTAGTGACTTGTTATATAGCTAATGGATGTAGCATAGAGAGATTTAAATAGTAAATATATTTGTAGTTGTTTACACAAAAAACAAGCGGATAGGTGTCTGGTACTTTTTCGAAATACGGTTCTTTGTAGGAGTAAATGGGTAAACACTGTATTTTGGTACTTTTTTTGGACACATGAGGTCTTTTCACACATTTGTAATCCGAATTTCGGTTTAATTTAACATCGATAAGGGCAATCAATACATATTGACAAATTTTTCTTAGTCTTAAGCTGTACTCTAGAAATGATAAAATCGTTAAACCACACCTCAGTTTACTAAATATTATAAAATAATATTTTTTATTAAATTTTTTGCAGAATCACCCACACCTATAAGAGTCATTGATATGAAGACAAAAAATAATTATCTGCTCTATATAATTTAATTGAAAAAATTTATAAATTGTTTATTTTAAGACCCATACAGCTTAACAAATAGATTATTTATTGATTATTATTTATGGTCATGAATGTAGCCATAACTAATTGTTGGCCCAAACAATTTGTGACGTAGTAAGAAGTAAAAAAAAATAATCTCTTTATATAACAGGCAGTTAAGACAAAATGTATGATGAGTTGGAAGAAAAAGCCTGTTTTCACAAAATTACTATTCTTGTAGTGTAAGTTTAAACCAAATGTTCTAACTCCAGCAAAAACCCAATATTATTTTACTATATAAATTACTGAACAGGCCACAAAACAGTATCAGTTAACACTCAATTAACAAACTCCACAAACCTCAAAACAATCAAAAAATCTATACAAAATGAAAGTAAGTCGAAATTGCTAATATTTTAATAAAACAAATCTGGCTAACAAAACCTCCTTCCAGTTCCTTATCTGTTTGGCTCTTTTCATTGCTGCTGCCCAAGCTGGTGTTTTATCGCCAGTCAGTACTTATAGTGCTGTGGCTCCTGCTTATACCACTTATGCTGCTGCCGCTCCTGCCTATACCACATATGCTGCTGCCGCTCCTTCCTATACAACTTATGCCGCTGCTGCCCCTGCCTACACTGCCTATGCTGCTGCTCCTGCTTATGCTACCTATGCTGCTGCTCCTTATAAGACTGCAGCTTACACCACCTATTCCGGCGCTGTTCCTGCTTCTGTTTACAGTGCAGCCCCCGTAGCTTATGCCGCCCCTGTTGCCACTTACTCCACTTTGTTGAAGAAGTAAATTTTTTTATATTTAAAAAATCCAAATTAACTTAATGATGATTGACTAAAGGATACAAAAAATAAATTATTTTTAAATTATAAGAAAAGGATATTTATATATTCAATCTGTAATATAAAGTTGACTACGGTTACGACACACAGTCTCTCCCTCTCTAGAGACTATAGAGTCGTCTATAGTCTGGACTATAGAACAGTCTATAGTCTGTACTATAGAGTCGTCTATTGTCAGTAATATAGAGTCTTCTATAGTCTGGACTATGGACTGATCATAGTCTCGACTATAGAGTCTTCTATAGTTTCGACTGTAGAGTGTTCTATAGTCTTAATCTTATCGTCTATAATCTGGACTACACAGTCTTCTATGGTCTCGACTATAGACTAAATAGCCGTTAACAGTTTCGACTACAGAGTCGTCTATAGTCTCCATTTCTATATTTTCGCCTATAGAGTCGTTTTAGTCTAAACTATAGAGTCGTCTATAATCTCGGCTATAGATTATTGTATAGTCTCGACCATAGAGCCTTCTATAGTCTTGACTATAGAGTCTACCATAGTCTTGACTGGTCTGTAGTCGAGACTACAGAGTCATCGATAATCTGGACTATAGAGTCATCTATAGTCTGGACTATAGAGTAATCTATAGTCTGGACTATACAGTAATCTATAGTCTGGACTAAAGAGTCATCTATAGTCTGGACTATAGAGTCATCTATAGTCTGGACTATAGAATCATCTATAGTATGGACTATAGAATCATCTATAGTATGGACTATAAAGTCATCTATAGTCTGGACTATAGAGTCATCTATAGTCTGGACCATAGAGTCGGCTATAGTCTGGACTATAGAGTCGGCTATAGTCTTGACTTTAGAGTCGGCTATAGTCTTGACTTTAGAGTAGTCTATAGAGTTTACTATAGAGTCGTCTATAGTCTGGACTATAGAGTCGTCTATAGTCTGGACTATAGAGTCGTCTATAGTCTGGACTATAGAGTCGTCTATAGTCTGGACTATAGAGTCATCTATAGTCTGGACTATAGAGTCGTCTATAGTCTGGACTATAGAGTCATCTATAGTCTGGACTATAGAGTCGTCTATAGTCTGGACTATTGAGTCGTCTATAGTCTGGACTATTGAGTCGTCTATAGTCTAGACTATAGAGCCGTCTATAGTCTGGACTATAAAATCGTCTATAGTCTGGACTATAGAGTCATTTATAGTCTGGACTATAGAGTCATCTATAGTCTGGATTATAGAGTCATCTATAGTCTGGACTATAGAGTCATCTATAGTCTAGACTATAGAGTCATCTATAGTCTAGACTATAGAGTCGGCTATAGTCTGGACTATAGAATAGTCTATAGTCTGGACTATAGAGTCGTCTACAGTCTGGACTATAAAGTCGTCTATAGTCTGGACTATGGAGTCGTCAATAGTCTGGACTATAGAGTCGTCTATAGTCTGGACTATAGAGTCGTCCATAGTCTGGACTATAGAGTCGTCTATAGTCTGGACTATAGAGTCGTCTATAGTCTGGACTATATAGTCGTCTATAGTCTGAACTTTAGATTCGTCTACAGTATGGACTATAGAGTGGTTTATAGTCTCGACTATAGAGTCATCCATAGTCTAGACTAGAGAGTCGTTTATAGTCTCGACTATAGATTTGTCAATAGTCTCAACCACAGATTCGTTTATAATCTCAACTACAGAGTAGTACGTATTGATTTTTAAAGATTCCTCTATGGTCTCGACTTTAGAGAAAATTTACTTAATAAATGCAATTTACTTTCTTAATTATTAAATTAATTTTAATATAATTTGCAATTATTTGAAATTGTCTACTGCTTTCACATTATAAAAACCATATGAAATTGCATACATTTAAACATCAATTAACATTTTTATTTGATTTTATTGTCACATTTTGACATCCAACTGTGACATTTAAGAATTGTTATTATTACACTTGTCTCTTTTTGGTTACAAATGATTGCAAGTGTCAATTTATATTCAGTCAGTATCCACCCCACGCCTCAAACAACACCACCTATACACATGACTTGACCAAAAGAGTAACATTTTAATCATTGTCATCAATAGTAGAGCATCATATCGTCATCATATCACAATCATCATATGGTTTGGTTGTAGATTTGTGTTCTATTGCAGATGACTATCAATAGCATATCTATTTGTGTAGAGGAATGGATGTCCAATTGAAGGGTATCATAAATTTACATAGATGTTTGATTTTATATTATTTTGTATGTATGTGGAGTATGTAATATTAGAAAAGAACTTTAATAGTTTATAAAGAAATATTAAAATGTTTCTATATTCTGTTCCAAAACTTGTCAGTTGTTAAGTAAATTTTTAAACTTATATGAATGGTAGGTGCTCCCTTAATTATAAATAAACATATATTTACAGTAAACAAAATTTAATAATTAATATTACTTTAATTTTGACACCTGTTTACTATTACTAAATTTATTATTATTTAACCTCACAATATAATTTAACAATTACATATGTATTACATTTCAAGGTGAGTATGTATAATACATGACTAAATAAATATGTAGGTGTATGTAACTAAAATGTTTGTTATAACTATTTCATTATTTACCATGACAAATTTATTGATTTTCAATTTATTGTTAATTACATTTTGAGCGTTTTTTTTTTGTACAATTCTATTAGAATTTTTTTTTCCTTGGAAAAATAATCATGATTGCGTGCTTCAAAATCTTTGGATATGAAACTAATAAAAGACTACCCAACAATTAAATATTAATAAACAAATAAATTTTAAATGTACATTGCACAAGTATATACATATGTATGTATGTTTTTATATATAAGAAGTGTAAGTGTAATTGAATAATTCAAGTTTCAGTGAAGTGTTAAAAAACAAAATTGTAATTACATACAATTTCTCTTGCATTGCCTCACTCAACCTGGGTTTGATGTGTTTAATTACTATAGCATCACAACCTCTTTGAGTGAGCTACAGCAGGTTGAAGATTCAACAGAAATCAATGAAAATCAAAGAAATTTATTGTGAAATTTGTTAAAGTGATTCGAAGATTATAAAGACTCTTAATAGAATTAAGATCTCGTCTTAATAATTAATCGCGAAATTTCATTTATATTCACATATTGTTTACTTATTATGTAGTGAGCTGTCAAAATTAGCTGATTACCGTGCACTGTGGGGCAGAAGAGTTATCGTTTAACAGATAGCTATTCTTCCAGTTAAACCAATTTTTGTATGAGAACTGTCAATATATCTTAAAGTTAAAAACTAAGTAGACATTGTGTAAATGGGGTTTAATATTTAAATTTATGTTTCTAGGTTTAATATTAGAAAAAGTTCCAGAAGTACTAATACTAAAAAGTAAACAAACTAAAAAATCCCATTTGTTAGATTCTCATTTACTCCGGGCTCTACATGCTTAATTTCATGTTTCTAGATTCAATATTATAGAAAATTCAAAAAGTACCTTTTGTAGATCGAAAAAGTACTAAAAAGTCCCCACATAATCCTGGCTCTACATGCCTAATTTCATGTTTCTAGGTTTAATATTATAGAAAATTCAAAAAGTACCTTTTGTAGATCGAAAAAGTACCAAAAAGTTCGCCTTTATGTTTTCTCACTTAATCTGAGCTCTACATACTTAATTTCATGTTTCTAGGTTCAATATTATAGAAAATTTAAAAAGTACCTTTTGAAGCACGAAAAAGTACCAAAAAATTCCCCTTTCATAGGATCTCACTAAATCTGGGCTCTACATGCTTAATTTCATATTTCTAGGTTCAATATTATAGAAAATGCAAAAAGTACCTGCTGTCTGATAGAATTATTGAAGATTTGGAACTCGCAGATATTTGGGGTCTTCTGAAAACTGATTTCGACATACACACAGACAGTCGGACATGACTAAATCGACTACGCTATCTATAAGAAGTTTTGCATGGATATTCTTGCCCTGTTTATTACCTATTGTTCTTAGCAAACTTTGTTCCAAATAGTTTTAAAAGCTATTTTTCCAATCTTCCTGAAAAAAATTGTTGGTCGCTTAGTGAGATGTGAGTACATATTTTGCAACTCAAGACAGAGGTTTTTCAGTTTTTAGCGTAATAATTATTCCAATTCAAATTCAATTCTGTTTAAATCCAGAAAATATATTGCTCTGAAAGTGCTTGCATGTGATTAGAAAGATAAGCTACTTTGAGCACCCATTGCGCCGGCGCTGGTTCAGCTGTGCGCTCTATTTTCAAAAAATAGACCCGATCGAATCAGCCATTTCGAAATGATATATTTGTTTCTAGTTTTTTGTGATTTTATTCTGAATGTTAACATATTGTGGGTATTAGATTTAGTTTGATAGTTTTTTTAATATAAGTATTAGAGGTTTTAGAATGAATTACACAAAAATGGTGTCTGTCGTGAGTTACTAAACATTTTTTTGATAGATATCCCAAACGCTTTCTTTTGAACTCAAAAAGAGAAAATGAATAGGTCTTATTTTGGAGATTGCCCTTAAATCTATTTGATGAAAAGAAACACATGTTTGGCAAAAATATCAAACTTTACTGCTATGTTGGTGCAAATTTCATACCGATTGGAAGACATCTCTTTCAAAAATTGGGTCACTTGAGAAAATCATATAAATATAACTTTAAATAATTGGCATCTTTCCCACTTGACATTAATAAGTGAAGAGAACCCTACAGTTCCTCCCAGACATACTTTGTGAATAAATTTGTTAACAGGATTGTTCTGTTGTACATATTGATGAAAACCCATGTTGCAAGCCCACAGTGTTGAACATGTCACAAAAACCGCTAGAAACAGTCAGATAAGGTTTTTTCATAAGCCGCTAGAAAACGTAAAATTTAATAAATAGACTATAGACTAGACTATATTATAGACTTGATACTAAACTATAGTTTAGTCTATAGTCGAGTCTATAGTCTATTATATAGTCTATGGTTATGTTTATAGTCTAGTCTATAGTCATGTTAATATCTAGTCCATCGTATAGTATATATGTATTATAATTTTTAGCCTAGTATAT